TATATATATATATATATATATATACACACACACACATATATATATAAGAAATATTTTTGAGCACCAATGATTTGAATGATTTGAAAATTCAGCTTTGCTGTCACAGGATTAAATTACATTATAAAATGTATTTTTAAAAAATCAGTTATTTTAATATGTATTAATATTTCATAACATGGCTGTTGTCTTTTTGCTGTATTTTTAATCAAATAAATGCAGCCTTGGTGAGCATTAGAGACTTCTTTTCATTACAAAACAAAACAAACAAAAAAATCTTACCAATCGCAAAATTTTTAATGGTAATGTAAATAAAAAATAAATCACATTCATAGTTATTGATTAATTTCAAAGGCCAGACATGACCAGGCAGTAGCGCTGCTTACCGGCACCTCCCCCACCATCACCCTCCTGGTCGAACGGGACCAGGCCAGTGCAGGGGGCGCCTCCCCTCGAACTCGACCTCATTCGCCCCCTCCTCCAGAGCCATCTGACTCGCCTGAGCAAGAGGAAGGAGATGAGCACCTTGGAAACCATCTCAACTGCCCCATGGAAGATGAATACCCCATTGAGGTGAGAGCTGGAACTAATGGTATGACATTGAACCTACAGGGAGAGAGTGTGTGTGTGTTTCTCCCTATTTGAGGAAATATTTAAAAGTGATAAAAAAGTGCTTTAAATGCTGCTAGCTGTAGTTTAATCTCATAACAGCTTCATTTTTCTGTTTTAATGCCTCACTCAGCAGAGAAAATGGTGTTAGGAGGATTGTGATTTGGCCTTTTAAAATTTGCTCTATTGCTCTTGCATTTAATTAATGTTCCCTTGATATTTTTATTTGTGCCCACTTGATGTAGTTGTGTAGACTTGCCTAGAAGATGTGTCTCCATTACAAATAACTGAACATTCATTTTCCTTGTATTTGTTACCATTCAAAAGTTTGGGGTCAGTAAGTCATATATATATATATATATCAAATAAATGCAGCCTTGGTGAGCATTAGAGACTTCTTTTCATTACAAAACAAAACAAACAAAAAAATCTTACCAATCGCAAAATTTTTAATGGTAATGTAAATAAAAAATAAATCACATTCATAGTTATTGATTAATTTCAAAGAGTATTTATCTCTGCATTTATCAGACCTACTGCAGACTCAGTTCTCCTTTTTCATACATCTGAATTTCCTGTCTGGACAGGAAGTGACCCTGATCAAAGCAGGTGGTCCCTTGGGTCTGAGCATTGTAGGGGGTAGCGACCATGCCAGCCACCCTTTTGGAATTAATGAGCCAGGGGTGTTCATCTCAAAGGTAAAGTAAATTATGTAGTATGATGCACGTTTATGTCAAAAATGAATGGCATGATTTGTGGTCAGTGAAGCTTTTGTCAGAATTGATTTCTGACCTTATTTTTTCTGGGTAGGTCATCCCCAATGGCTTGGCCTCTGAGAGTGGACTTCGCGTGGGCGATCGTATATTGGAGGTGAACGCCATCGACCTAAGACATGCCACACATCAGGAAGCTGTTAGAGCCCTGCTATCCAACAAGCAGGAGATCCGCATGCTTGTGCGCAGAGATCCCTCGCCCCTTGGCATGCAGGTATACACACATTCATTAGTAGAGGAGAAGTGTACGCAAAACCCTGAAGTATGGCCGGTTGTCACCGGGTCTGTGAAGTTCTCCTGGCTCAGTCAGATCTAATAAATATCAGATTTGGGTTTTTCCTGAAAATCTGCCAAAATGGCCTGGAATGTGAAAGACGCTCATACTAATACTTGTACTAATTTTGGTAAAAATCTCAAAAACGTTTGAAACTCCTAATGAGACCAGTACAACCTCGCATACTCTCTAAAACATCCCTGTGTTTTTGTAGGAGATTGTCATCCACAAGCAGCCTGGAGAAAAGCTGGGCATCAGCATCAGGGGCGGAGCTAAAGGCCATGCAGGCAACCCCTTTGACCCCACAGATGAGGGCATCTTCATTTCCAAGGTAACCAAAACCATGATAGAAGATTCAAACCCTGCATGATTCTTATAACATCAAAAGTACTGGTCGACTTGCCTACTTCCTCAAAACACTACTTCCTGTTTTTTTTTACTCACTTGATTCTATAGGTGAGCTCCAGCGGTGCTGCTGCACGAGATGGCCGACTGCGGGTGGGCATGCGTATTCTTGAGGTGGGCAACAACAGTCTGCTGGGTATGACACACACGGAAGCAGTGAGGGTTTTGCGTGCTGCCGGTGACTCCTTGGTCATGCTTGTGTGTGATGGCTTTGACCCAAGAAACGCTGCAGGCATAGAGGTAAAGACCTAGCTCTGGTGTCCAACTGTGACTTAAATTATTATAAATATAATAAAGTATGCACTGACACTATCAGTCAATGTTTGAAATAATTAAGATATTTTTTATGTTTTTGAAAGATGCCTCTTGTGGTCAGCAAGACTACATTTATTTGATTAAAATTACAGTAAAAACAGTAATATTGTGAATTAAAAGCAGCCATTATATTCCAGTCTTCAGTGTCACTTGATCCCTTAGAAAGCATTCTGATATCCATGTATGTACTACTACATAAACTTGTTGATTTGATTTCTTTCAGGCATCCCCTGGTGTTATTGCGAACCCGTTTGCGGCAGGTATTGTTCGTAAGAACAGTATGGAGAGCATCTCATCAGTAGACAGAGACCTGAGTCCTGAAGAGATTGACATCATGCAGAAGGTGAGCTCTATGCATCACACAGAGCAGGAACAGCGGAGGAGTGGATGGGAAAAATAACATCCGTCTATCTGACCTTTCCTGCAGGAGGTAGAGATGGTGAGGGAGACGTCCCAGTGGGAACGGGAGGAGATGGAAAAAGTGGTGAGTGATTTCCCTTCCCCTAAACGCCTTTCTTATAACAGATTATTATTATTATTATAAGAATATGCTATCAAAATGACCACTTCCAAATCTCCCCTATAACTACAACTAATATATGTGGATCTGTCCTTTTCTTTCTCTTATCTGCCCCTCTTTTCCCCCAAACCCTTCTGAATGATCTTGGGTGCTGCTCATTCCAAACATCACATTTTGTTTCTGCTCATTCCATTCATCTCTTTCGTTATGTCATCATATGTTCTTATGTCTACATGGTTCCCTGGTTTTATTGTTCATCCACGATTTTGCATCACCTAAACCTCATTCCCATCTGTGCAATGGATGCCTTCGGAATGTGTGTATGTGTGTCTATATTTGTGTGGGCATAATGTGTGTCCGTGTATGTGTGTGATTGGGTAAACTTCATTTCCCCACCCCCTCCTTACCTTCCCTCTTTTGGTAAAGGAGCGTATGCGCTTGGAGCGCGAGAAGGCAACTCGTTTGCTGGAGGAGGAAACTGAGGTGAGGCCTTAAGCCCTCCCTGTCTTTACGGCCCACAGTAGGGCTTCAGGAGTGAAACATGGGACCAGCCGTCACCTTGAACATGAACAAATGAGTCATATCTGAACCTCTGAGCGCTAGAAGATCTTTAGAGCCAGTGTCCTCATGCTCAAAACTTAATGAAATATCTAAATAATGTTTAGAAGATTTTTGAACATGTTCTTTCAATGAACACTGATCATTCATTATACTCTTTCTAACCCTCGTATCTACAGAATTTGAGCACTGGACCATTGAAACTGGACTACAAGACACTGGCTGCTCTTCCTACCACTAGCCTACAGAAAGTTAATAGAGTAAGTACCTACATGTAAAAACTTTTTAATAAATGGTCAAGAAAGCATCTAGAAACAAAACATTCGAATGACTTGTTTGGACATAAAAGCCAGGTAAGAAATTCCTAACAGATGCTTCCTTGGTGCACATACCCCCTGGCTGCTGCAAGTCAATAAGATGAGCCTTTATTACTGATGCAAGGTCACTGTAGACTAGGGATGCACCGATACTGGTGTCGGGCCTGATACTGAGCTCCTGTACTCATACTCATTAAAATGCTCTGATATCAAAACCAATACCACACAGCGTATGAACAGTGCTGTGTCCAGACAAAGGAACACAGACAACAGAACAAACTGAGAGCAGGATGGAGTTATTAGAGATTAAGAACAAGAAGTACATGTACAGTATGTAATTAATATGATGTAAACATTCAATATTCACGCCTGCATAGCTGATGTGTGCGAGCTGCTAAGCAAAGCAAGCTTAGTGGATTGAGCTCTAATGTGCACTGTGCTATTATCTTAAAGATGAAATATAATAGAGCAATAAAATTAACAGTTAAAGTTACAAAAACTTGTACAATACATTTTGACAGGCATAATTAAGTGTGAAAAAACCTGAAGGAAATACCTATTTACTAAAGGAAGCCGACTTACATGATTCATATTATTTTGGCTTCTGTACCCAATGTTTGTGAAAATTAAAAATGCATTGAAACTACAGGTATCGGTACTCGGTATCGGTAAGTACCAAAAATGAACGTATCGGTATCAAACTCATTCTGGAAAAAGTGGTATCGGTGCCTCTGTACTGTAGGTCCATTCCTAACGCTTCACAAGACAATAAATGATCTGACGTAGGCTACTGATGGAAACTGAGATTATAGAAAATGTTGTCCGAACAGATTGGTGGAATTACAGATACATTTATCATAACCATTAGGAATCTGTCGATTTTTTCATTTTCAGTGCTGATTTTATTGGAAAAATATGGTCAAAACTTAACTTACAGATATGTTTCCTTACTTGCTTTTGAATGCTTAGCATATTGGTCAATTAGTATTGGTCTTCTAAAACCTTATCAGGTCAAGTTATATGTTTGTCCAGTAGTGCTCCTTTTACTAGTAGTGCCAAAGGTAAAGCAGTCCAGCTGCTGGCTTAAGTCTTCAGTAGCACCAGTGTTTGATCTCATTCCAGCCATACCCCTGACAACCTCTGGGGGGGGGGCAACAGCTGAATGTAGCTGAAGTTATTTTAAAATGTGTGCGGTGAGCTGATTGGCTGAATGGTTTAACGGGTGGGTGTGGCCTTTGAGAATGAAGGGACCCTTGGAAGATCATGACAGTTAAGTTATCTAGAGTCGAGCCGCTTGGAATCTGCTCCTGTCATCTTACTGTAAGTGTACCACTGCTATTATTCTACAACTCTTAGTCTCATTCCTTCTTGACTTCTATGGCTACTTTTTCTTTCTTTTCTTTTCCTTAATGTTTTTTTTTTTTGTGTGAAATCTGTTACACTTTATTTGGAATTTTATTACTGAAATAATAGCAAAATCTATGAGTTGTTGGGTGTTGAATGTTAGTTGAATGTAGTTACTAACAGTCTGTAAATTGTATTATGCTGATTGCACACAAACATCCCTCATACAATAATTTATTGCCTTCAGTGATATAACGTTATATAATGTAACAGATGTAATTTGAGCTTTGTAATTTGTTTTTACAAATTACAAGATATTGCTTGTCCCTTTGTGAGCATTTTTAGCCTATGTCTCTCTTCTAGGAATGTTTAACCTCCATAGCACTAGCAGCTGTTAGCAAAGTCAAGTGAGGAATGGAGAGGTGGTGCACTGCTCTTAGAAAGGGAAACACTAGCACACAGTTTTCTCCCTCATGTGATTTTGTGGTATATGAAGTACAGTTTAGTCACGGCTATTTATAGATGCTATTTTGTAGAGCAGTGTCTTTTATCTGCACAAGAGTCACTGAATGAAGCTTTTATCAGTATGAGGCCATTAGTTGTATACGATAGCCACATCTTAAGCATCACTATGTGCCACCAGTTGCACCTGTTTGTGAAGCCACATTTGAATAGTTTTTTTGTTTTGTTTTTCTGTGATGAGAATCCAGAGTATAGTTTCATAATACTTTGTAAAGGTGCATATTTAATAGTAATAACAGTTAAGTAAATGTCTAAGAACTACTTATTACAGTTTCTTTTAGGTTGTGTATAAAGCAAGCATTCATTGTTGTTCATAATGTTCAATACGTTTTTTAAAGGGGTCATATGATGCTATTTTAAAGATCATTATTTTGTGTATTTGGTGTAACAGAATATGTTGACATGCTTTAATGTTCAAAAAAACATTTTTCAAATACTGTACATTATTGTAGTTCCTCTATGCCCCGCCTCTCTCAAACGCGTCGTTTTCTACAAAGCCCCTCCTTCCGACAAGCACAGTCTGCTCTGATTGGCCAGCTGACCCAGTGCATTGTGATTGGCCGAACATCACAAGCACGCGTCGGAAATGTAACGCCCCTTACCATAATAGCGAGC